CTGTGATTCTAGTATTAGCACATACTTTATTAAAGATCAGCCTATTGTCAGTAATTCCTCACAACATGATTTGGGTATCTTGCTCTCTGATAACTTATCATGGTCCAATCACTATTCTTTTATTGTCTCTAAAGCTCTTAAAATCCTTGGTTTGCTTAGGAGATCTTTTAGTACCTCTACTCCAGTGAGGGTTAAGAAGTTGCTCTACTTAACTTTGGTGAGATCTCAGTTAATGTATTGTTCAATATTATGGCATCCTAGATTTATTAAGGATATTATGCTACTCGAAAGAGTACAGCGGAGAGCTACGAAGTGGATTTTGGGAGACTACTCTTCAGACTATAAAGAGAGACTATTGTCACTTCAGATGCTGCCATTAATGATGACATACGAGGTTAATGATGTTTTCTTTTTTCTAAAATCTTTGTCTTATCCATCAGCTGCTTTTGATATTAGGAACTTTATCACATTCTCAACTAATCCGTATCGTCACTACAATCTACTTCATGTTACATGTACAAATAATACTTCGAGGCATTTTTATTTTAGCAGACTACCTAGGCTTTGGAACTCATTACCTACTAAAACTAAAATTAAGTTACTTAATAATTCTTTAGATAAATCTAAACTTATGTTAAACACACTTTTTACTGATTACTTTGTAAATAACTTTGATTCTTCTTTAATTTGTTCGTTTCATTTTTTTATTTACTATGTAATTTTAGGTGGCCAGTCTTGTTACTGTGTTTGCCTTCGATACATCTCTTTTTTGTTTCTTTTCTTTTTGTCACATTTTATAGTATGTATTGTAAAGTTTATTAATAATAATAATAATAATAAAATAGCTCATGGTATTTTTTTGCAATTTTGGCATTTAAGAACAATGGCCGTAACTTGAAAAATTAAAGCTCAAACTTTCTACACAGTATAAGGACGTCAATATGCATCTGAAAATGTAATAAAATTTTTTAATGATTTTGGAGGCATTGTTTAGAAAAAAACCATGGGCTATAGCCTTGGGTATTTTTTCAGAATTTTGGCATTAAAAAAATAGCCGTTACTTGAAAAATTGAAGTCAAAATTAGCTCAAACTTTCTACACAGCATAATTACCTCAATATGTATCATAGCATGTAACAAAAGTTTGGAAAAATTTTGAAGCCATTTTTTGGAATAATAGATCTAGCCTTGAAATTTTTGGCATTTTCTTTAAAATGGTAAAAAATGGTTGTAATTTGAAAAATTGGAGTCGAAATTAGCTCAAACTTTCTACATAGCATATTTTGTATAAGTTGTCATATATCATGACCTAAATGAAGATGTACTTTTCAAATATATTCCAACAGGGACCTTTCTTGGCCAGTGCCTAACGTTCCTCCAAACCTCAGAGTTCACTAGACCACTGAGACCTTCTCCTTCATACAGTGGTAGTTTCTCTTTCTCAATCAGCATATCTCCTCCAACAAGACTCATTCCAACTATAAATACCAACAACAAACAACAAACAACTAACAATAAACAGTTATTATATTGTACCTGGTATTCCATTTCCATCAAGTTCATGCTTTGGGAATTCTCCACCCTGTGCTGGAATAGTTTGTATCCTTGGACCTTCTCTCCATACATTCCTGTTATGCCACCAATGGCACCGTTCTGCTTTTCTTTGAGATAATCAAGGCAAGGAAAGCAAGCAGACATTCCTTTGAACTCTGCCTGAGCAAAGTCAGGACTTTTGATGTCCTCTTGTTCAAGAGGTCTTGTTGTCAGAAACACTGAGTGTTCTTTTGGTAAAATGTGTCGAAGAAGAAGGAGCAAGTCTCAAATAGGAAGAGACCCTCGTAGCAGCAGCTCTGATCATTTTGGCATTATTACAACTCTTTTCTTCAAAGTAACATAAAATCAATAAAAAAACAATGTTACTTTTTAATGTGCATATGTTAATGTGTAATAAAATATACACAAAAATAATAATATAATAATCTGGAATTATTGAAAAGACAATGACAACAGTATGTAATATAACTATGAACTCATCAACTATTAATATGACAGTTAATTAATGCTATTCCTATATAATAAACAAAAAATTTAAAATTGAAATTGTAAGTTAAAAATTACCATATAATCTTTGTTCCTATATTTTCACCTCATTTGGACTGCTTGTTTTTGAAATAGTCCAGCATCTTCATTCAAATTGTCTAAAAATTGAAGTAACAAATCATTCAGTGGTTATGGCAACTGAATCTCATACATACATACATGTAGCTAAGCATAAGAATATGCAGATGTATTCAGAAAAATTATTAAAATGTAAAATTTTCTCCTAGCCAATTTTGACAAAATTAGGTCAAAGGTCATGTACTACAGTACAGGGCCTTTTGCTCAATTTTTGAGCAAATTAAAAAATTTGTAAAAAAAAATCTAAATTACTTAGAATTTACTTAAACTTTCTATGCAACATAAAAACATGTATACAATTTAGGGTAAGCTATAAAAATGAAGAATTCTCTACTTTTAAATTTCAGCAAAATTTGGCCTAAAATCCTGAAGAATAGTAAAGGGACTTTTGCCAACTTTTTGAGTAACTTTAAAAATTAGTAAAAAAAATCCAAATTTGTTCGGAATCAGTTTAAACTTTCTAAACAACCTAAAACATATTTGAAGGGTCAAACCTCAAATAACTGTCATATCTCCAGTTAGTAAAAACCTCAGTCTCTTTCTATATGTAACTAGACTGGTTTAGTGGTCTCTTCCACAAGGAGAGGAGGCATGTGTGAGCCCAATGGCTGCAAGTGTCCTGGAGGATCATCACAAATAATACACAAGATACATACTGAGAGGAGGAGAGATAATGATAGGATAGACCTGGAGAGAATAAAAGATATTATATCACCAGTGATACATTAGGATAATTGAGACACTGAATGATTTAAAAGAAAAGGGGAGAGAGAGAGATAGACTTACATTTTAGACTGAGCCCCACCCACTTAGGATTAGGAAACCACCGCCCACATTCTTATTTATGGGTGTGGCTGGTTGATTAATATTCTTCACAAACAATGTCTAAAGGTCAGTTCCTGTTTTCTTCCTCCTCTTTCTCATCATGTTTGTATTTTACAGGTATCTATCAACTGGGAGGGATATCTCATCACTCAGCTCCTGTAGTAGGTGAATCAGTGTTCCTGTGGGGAGGGCAAAGGCCTGACTTACCTCTAGTTCATGATTCCCCACAAAAGAGGAAATTGTTGTCCACCATTGATAGACTAGAGTTTAGGACTGGTGGTTGGTCCTCTCACGTGACCAGAGGAACATCACCTCCTCTAGGACCTGTAGGATACTTCTGTACTACCAGAATCAATGAAATCTTCTTTTTTGGCGGTGACTGTGGACCGTGCTTTCATAATGACATTAACTCATTTAACAGTCTAACATATGAATGGAGTAATATAATACCAACCAGTGATGCTGTAATGAAGAGAGGGTATGGTGGTATGGTGTGTATGGAGTCTATGGGTACAGAATACCTATTTATGATAGGAGGGACTGGTTCTACACCCACTACATACCAATCACAGTATCAGTATATTCAGTTAGGTAATGGCAGTATTCGTACTAATGAACAGAATTTGTTACATTTATCAACAAGTAAGTATTTATTAATTGATGCATAATGTTAACAATTTATACTCTGGTTGTGATGACATATTTTTTAATTGTTATTTTTCTTACCATTTGCATATTAAGTAGGACGGTGCATGTAACATTGAAGGAGTGAGCATGAGCCATCATTGTATGAAGAGACAGTTGATTTGACTAACTAATTTTGAGTTACATCAGCTACATAAAAAATACAAAATTTAAAATGAAGCCTTCAAGCATGGATGCATCCTACTCCACCTATTAATAATTTGTCGACATGGTCTAATTAAATTTATTGATTAACGTCCCTCACCATTGCTTTGTGTGGGTGAGGGACTAGGTAGTCTGGTTGTCTGTCATTCATTCATTCATTTAGTTTACTGAACTCTAATAATCATTTTACTCCATTTATGAATGATATTATCAAATGTTGTCATATTGAGCCACAACTGACACGTATCTGTGCAAAGTGGAACAAAATGACAAATTTTATTTGATCCTTTTTTGACAAACTGCCAATTTAAAATAAATTACTTCTTGCTATACATGTATACATGTACGGTATGTATATGTACATGATATTTGCAGTGTCATACTTAATAATTCTAATTATACTATCTATTTCTATTTAGGACAATGGATTATTCCAACTATTAGTGGTCAGTGTTGTCCTCCTACTAGTTCCTTTGCTATTCAAAAGATTACTAATAATAAAGCTGTCATGTTTGGTGGAGAAGTGCCTTATGATGATGGTAGAAGTGATGTACTTGTTAATACAGTCTATACATGTCAACTGGAGTCTGATACTACAATAGTAAGTTATCTTATTACTGTATGGGATGTATTTATTACATAGATCAATCATGTTTGGACATTAATACATGTACATACGGGTATAGCTTGTAATTTGAAAAATGTATTTAAATGAGTGTTACATGTGGATTTGGTTTAATAATTTATTTTAACTGAAACTGTACAATTATCACTAGTACTTATATAATTATTTTATAATTAAATGTACAAACTCTTGAGTATAATAGAACAGTGTACATGCATTAATACATTTTATAATATTGATTAATTCATTTTATCTAGCACTGGGAGAGTGTTAAGGTACCAGTAGTAGTACCTGCTAGTGTACAGTGGCCTGTGGAGAGACGTTTTCATGCTATTACTAGTATCATCAGTGACTCACCTACACTAGTAATGATAGGTGGAGAGGGTAATGATGGTCAACTAGTAAATGATAGTTGGTTACTGAATACTAGTCAGTACCAGTGGAGTAAGGTATGTGTATAATGTTATTAGTTTAGAGTGTACATGTGTGTGATACAGTGATTGTACAGTAGTTGTCATGTTAATGTATTGTATTGTATTAATACCTTAGAAATAGTCACTGTGTGCATGTACAGTACATATACCTAATGCATGTACATGTACATGTATATTCCCTTGAATATTTTGTAACATACCGTATACTGGGAAATTTTCACGGCGCTAAATTTTCAAGAAACAAAATTTCACGAAATAAAATTTCGCGAATGGTCCAATAAAGCCCACGTGGTCTCTTCCTGTGGGTGGGGTTATAGGCGTGGTAGAACTCACAGCGCGCACGTGTAAAGGCATGGAGGAGACAGCAGCTTCAACTTCATTTACCATGGATTCGTGTATGAGAGGATTTCATATCTATAAAGACGTCTGGGAACCAACAGAAGAACTG